GATATTAAGTTACTGTGAATATAAGTTATATATTACTAGAGAATAAAATGAAGCCTTTCAAACCTAAAAAAAAAAAGAAGAAGAAAAGAAAGCTTATCTTCTCCCCAGGAAAATAAAAATGAGATGTTCTTAAAAAGCAATCACAGTGGCATGTGGTTGTGTAGCGGTACCAGGAGAACAGAGGAGGAGCAGACTCGCTGAGATTGGGGCAGGTAGGGAACACACCTACCAGAAATAAAAAACTACAGCGTGAGTAACAATGGGCCCAGGGGTAATGAAGGAATCACTTCTTGCCGGAGCACAGTGATGTGTGGCTGGAAGGGAAGCTGAGGGGATCCATGCTGGGCACATCTGTGTCATGCTAAAGACCTTGGGCCCATCCTAACCACTATGGGGGGGCTCTGAGCTGAGAGCAGGACACATAACAAGAGCTGCAAGGAGAGCACTGGAGACCTCTGGTGTGATCTGGGCATGCACAGCAGTAAGCAAGGTGACAGGAGAGCTAGAGAAGCGCTAGTCTCTAAGGACAGGCAAAAACCTGAAAGGAAAGGGTTTACTAAACTAAAACCCCAGAAATGTCTGCAAGCAAAGCAGGAAGCAGAATGAACGCAACTTCAACGCGCAGCAGCGGATGAGGCGAGTGAAGAAAGGGACGAGGATGCCAGCTCGTCCTCATCCTCCTCAGGGCAGCGGCAGGCCACACCAACGCCCTTCAGTGTTACTTGCCGTTGTACGTCGGCCCGCTGTCCACACTTCCTCCATAGCCTTTAGTTTCACAGTGTGGGGGAGCCCAGCCATTTTCACAGTGACAGTTCTTATTGCTGTTACACACCTTTAAAACAAGCAAAATAGCACGGGTTAATTGTGAGTGTGCTCTGAATCAACTACGGAATGGCAACTAAGAAGAATAAATTCATACAAACTCATTACCCGCCCCCACCCACCACCACCAGACAGGCTCTCACTGTGCAGCGCTGGCTAGATTGGAACCCACGCCGTGGACATGCACCACCACACCCAGCAAGTGAGTGTGTGTGTGTGTGTGTGTGTGTGTGTGTGTGTGTGTTCAATGAAACATTTGCCAACAAATTCTCCCAAGATCTACCTAGAAACTGTGGGAATTCTCATCTAATCCTCATTGGGACTGTCACCTCAGCACTCCCACTAGGAACAAACCAAAAGGAACAACGCTTACCCCATGGCCGTGACATTTTTCCTGAATGTCACAGTCATAATTCAGGACAGAAGCATTTACACACTGGAAATTCCTACAAATCTGAAAAAATAAACAAAGAATTAAGTGATATACAGAAAAACTGGACACATTAAAAAGAATACCAAGGTCAGGCAATGGTGGCACATGCCTTTAATGCCAGCACTTGGGAGGCAGAGGCAGGCGGATCTCTGTGGGTTCGAGGCCAGCCTGGTTTACAGAGTGAGTTCCAGGATAGGTACCAAAACTACACAGAAAAACCCTGTCTCAAAAAACAAAACAAACTAATATCAGGGGGGAAAGATCAGCATCATGATTATTTCACTGAGGGATTCTTATTTTTAATTTCTTATATTTTGATTTGGGGTGTGTGTGTGTGTGTGTGTGTGTATGTGTGTGTGTGTGTGTGTGTATGCACACGTGCATGTGAATGCCAACATGCATACAGGTATGGGAAAGCCCATGTGAATATTTGTACAAATGCATAACAATGTGTGTGTGTGTGTGTGTGTGTGTGTGTGTGTGTGTGTGTGTAAGTCAAGGGACAACTGGCTGGTTCTGTCCCGAGGATGGAGTTCAGGTCATCAGGCTGACAGCAGGCGTCTTTACCCACTGAGTTATCTTGCTTGCTGGACCCATCTTTGGGGAATTCTTCAAACTTTCAAGGCATGGTTAATTCCAATATTATATACATTTTAATGTAGAAAATGAGTGAAATTAACTAAGTAACATAGAACTAATGATTAAAAAGACAAAGATTATACGAAGGCCAAAAAGAATGATTAAATTCTAGTCTATCTTTTGATATGAGTATAGAAATGAAGACCTTAGGAAAATATTCAAAGGAATATTTGGAATAAAGGAAAAATACAAAGGAATATTTTTCAAATCAAAGGAAACCACATGCTGAGTATGATAGTACACATCTATAACCCCAACGCTTGGAGGACTGAGGCAGGAGGACCATGAGTTTGGCCATGAGGTCAAACCAGGCTCTACTGTGAAACCCTTTCTCAAAAAAAAAAAAAAAAAAAAATGGCATGGAGGGTTACTGGTAAACCTAGAAATAGCTCTATTTAAAAAATTTAAAAATAGGCCAGCTGGCGGTAGCGCACACCGTTAATCCCAGCACTCAGGAGGCAGAGGCAGGCGGATCTCTGTGAGTTCGAGGCCAGCCTGGTCTACTGAGTGAGATCCAGGAAAGGCACCAAAGCTACACGGTGAAACCCTGCCTTGAAAAACAAACAAACAAAAAATAAAAAATAAATAAATAGGGGCTGGAGAGATGGCTCAGAGGTTAAGAGCACTGACTGTTCTTCCAGAAGTCCTGAGTTCAATTCCCAGCAACCACATGGTGGCTCACAACCATCTGTAATGAGATCTGGTGCCCTCTTCTGGTCTGCAGTCGTACATGCTGTATACATAATAAATAAATAAATCTTTTTTAAAAATTAAATAAATAGATAAATAAAAGAATACTTTATTTTATAATAAAAGCTATCTTTTTTAATATCATGACTAATAATAAAGTGATAGAGGAATTTCTAGGACAAATGGGAAATAAATCATTATAATTTTATAAGGTCTAGAATGTCTAGCTCATAACAAATATAAAAATAGACAAAAAGTCCAAAATACTGAAATAGATTTCAAAAAGAATTATCTCTGAAAATATTGTATTACATAGTATAGTAAAATATCAAGCTACTTTTACTATTCTAAAAAAAAAAAATACCCAAGGGGCTTGAGAGGTGCCTCCATGGTTAAGAGCCCTGGCCACTCTTCCAGAGGATACAGGTTCAATTCCCAGCTCCTACATGAGAGCTCACAACAGTAGGTAATTCCAATCCTTTCTAACCCTGAAGCCACCAGGCATCCACACGGTGCCCGGGTATACCTGAACACAAAACATCCATACACACAAAATAAAAACAAAAGTTGCCCTTAAAAATACAGCTTTCCACATTGGAGAAGATGTGTTTGAAAAGGATAAAATGCAAGTAACAAGGGGGTCCTGAGGCTGGTCAGCCTACCCAAGGGACAAGGGGGTCCTAAGGCTGGTCAACCTATCCAAGGGACAAGGGGGTCCTGAGGCTGGTCAGCCTATCCGAGGGACAGGGTGGTCCTGAGGCTGGTCAGCCTATCCAAGGGACAGGGTGGTCCTGAGGCTGGTCAGGCTATCCGAGGGACAAGGGGGTCCTAAGGCTGGTCAGCCATGCTCTTGCTTTGCATTCCAATCCATTCCATCTGCTGAACTTTCTTATGATCTGTTTACAATGCTAAACCTCGCGGAGCTCGGGAATGGTGTGCAGGCTCGACAGAGTTTCACCTGAGAGTCACGGGATCTCTGCATACTGTTCCCTCCAACAATGGTCAGTTCATTTTAAAATGGGAAATACAGTCATACGATTAAAACTCCAAGAAGTACAGAAAATTCTAGAGGAAAGTCTCTCATCTCCCAGACTCTCAGATAGAGATTTCTATTGGCCGCTTCAGAGGCGATCACAGAGGTAGACGCCACGGCCACAGATTGACTTTAAGGCACAGGAAAGTCCCAAATCTTGCACGAACTATATTCTTACAGGAGGTTTATCTTGTGGAATGCATGGAACCAATCTGGAATGAATACCCTAGCAAACAGGTTGCCGCTGTGACCAGACCTTAAATTCGAATGTTTATAGTAAAACACCAATGACAGATCATTTCATTAGCAGACAAATCAGGCGTCCTCATTACTGATCTGTGGCTGTAAAGACACCATGGCCAAGGCAACTTATGAAAGAAAGAATTCATTGGGGTTTCCGGTTTCAGAGGGGGTCCATGAGCATCATGACAGGGAGCCTGGCAGCATGCAGGCAACCAGGGCTCTGGGGCAGTAGCTGATAGTCAACACCTCAATGCATAAGTACAGGGCAGAGAGAGAGACAGACAGAGAGAGACAGACTGACAGACAGAGCAAGCTGGGAATGGTGTGACCTGAACCAGGTGGCTCCCTAATGGGGAGAGCCAGGGATAAGAAGAGAAAGAGGACGGAAAGCTGGGACCAGGAAGCCTCGCATAAGCTGATGGCTTACGACAAGCTTATTAAGAAATACAGCACCTTATATACTGCTTTTAGGGGGGAGAGGGGACACAGTCAGCAGAAAACTGTCATATAATGGGACACAGTCAGCAGCAGGAAGCTCGTCAAACAATGTTGCATTAAAGGAACACAAGATATCTCAAGTGCATCACGAGCACACATCAGCCACTGCACTGATAACTCCTGTCTCTCTCAGGGGAAAAGGCAAGTTCCCAGGAACTGAAACATTAACTACTTCAAAGCCCGGGGCCCCACCCTTCCAAGTCTATCCTACCTCCCCCAACCCCCACCCCAGGGCAAGGACACAGAACTAAGTGCCTTCTGTCCTTTCATGGGGCCTCTGAGAAAGCCCCGGGTCCACTTGGCTCTCAACAATGGCAGGGCTTTTGGAAACCTCAAAGCCCCACCCCCAGAGACACACCTCCTTCAACAAGACACACCTCCTAATCTTCCCAAACAGTTCCACCAACTGGGGACCAAACACTGAAATATATGAGCCTATGAGGGACATTCCCATTCAAACACCATACTGAGTAACCGTTAATATCCTTTATATAGGAGAAGACCTAAAAATTGGCAGATTTTTAGACCAGATAGGCAACTTTATGAACACAGACTCTCAAGGGTGAAAAAAGATTCATGTACCTAATAAAAGACAGAAAGATGTTCAATAAGCAAAATAAAGTTTTTTTTCTCACTTCACAGTGCAAAGAATTAAACAACTGATGTGAGACTTCTGGGAAAGATGGTGGATTAGAAGCCTCACCAGGAACTCGGTAAAAGATACCAGTGACGAGAATACAAAATAAACTGTTATTCTGCAAGAAACAAGGTCTGTATGTAAACTGTTCCCTACAAGAAAATGGGCAGCAGGCTGAGCTGTCCAGCCCAGCTGCAAGCTCTCTCTCTCTCTCTCTCTCTCTCTCTCTCTCTCTCTCTCTCTCTCTCTCTCTC